GTTTAATAATATGGCATAAAGACTAAATCTAATAAAATATCTTAAGTAGGGTTGAAACGGTTTTAGCGGAGGCTAAGCTCTTCCACGTCCTTCCCCCCCCCCGCCGATCGCGTCTACTGCAGGGCCGCAATAATTTATATCGCGGCAGAGATGATTCGATTTACTACTAAATAATAATAATTGAGCTTGTCATCAATAAAATATAATTAAAGTATACGTATAACGTTAAACGTTCACGAGAAAACTATAGAAATTATAAGAAAAAGCCGGATGTACTTTCGCATTATGGATTGGACACGTTGTTGTGTGTGGGAAATTGGAAAACTATATAGGAAATTCAATTGCATTGGAAGCCATGACGCAAAAGCGACAGTTTATTAAAAAATTGCCTAATTTATAATAACTCTTATCCCTTATCCCAATGGAAGGGGATTGAAACACTCCCACAGTACCTCTATCTGTTGTAAAAAGTGACAAATGGAATTGTGTCAAGTTGATAGCCGGCGCAAAAATATTGCCAAATAGCATGAGGAGTCTTAAAAAAATTTTGGGTAAATTTTCCAGTCTTGGATCTGTACGAGAACAAAACGAAAGAAGAAGATTTAAAATATAGGATTAAGTGTAGTTGGGATAAGTGGAGAGAAGCGTCCGGTGTTCAATGGGGCAAGATAATTCCAATGAGACTTGAAGGTAATTTCTACTAGATAGTAGTGAGACCGACTATGTTGTATCGTTTGGAATTTTGAGTAGTAAACAGAAGAGAAATAAAACAGAGATGAGTGTATCAAAGGTGCGAATTTGGAAGAAGATGAATGGAATGATAAGAGAAGGAGGTAGTGTATGAAACGAGTACACGAGAGGTAGCATAGGCGTAGGTGGCTACGATAAATGAGGTAAAATAGACTGAGACGAATTTGGCGAGTCATGAGGAGAGTGTGATCGGAACCAGTAAGAATGATAATGAAAATAAACGTAGGGGGAAAGAAATAAAGAGGAAGGCCGATAAGAGGTGGTTGGATGCGATTGAGAACGATATGAGAGAACTCGAGAGGACAACAAACAGTATATACGAGATAGGAGATCAACTAGAGAAGAAGAAGAAGATTCAAAGCAATGATGACAGATCATTTTAATCAAAAGCCAGTAATATGAGCTAAAATCGGTAAACTCCAGGTATAATATTTTAATTTAACCCTAAGAATATAATCGCGTTTTCTCCTCCTAGTACAACAAGGTTTTCCTAGAAATCGACAAGAATCGTTAAATCTATACTAATCGTTATTCGATGTCAAGTTTTTGTTCTTTTGTTTTTTTTTTTTTTTATAGAAAAACGGTCGGGAATCTAGTAAACGTTTTGTTTCAGGTATTCCCGGTCAGAAATTCTGCATCTTATAACGTATACGGTATATGAAAAATCTGCTGCGTTTTTACTAATCGGAAAGAGTTAAACGGAAAGTTAAAAGCAAAATAAACAATTAATAGTAAAACTATAACACAGCTTTTTCGCTACACTTAGAATTTAAAAAAGAAGAAAAAATACTTTTTCCATAATAAAATAATGTGACGCATATTTCGACCGCATTGGACTAAATATGCATTTATTAATTTCAATACTTATAACCGCTATCGGGTAATCTCAAGTTTATTAATCACCTACTGGTTACGAATAAGAACCGGTTATTAAAAAAAAAGAGATGATTTATCTCGTTGCATTCAAACAAGTTCACGTGTTCACTGATATTCGCAATAGAGCTGTGCACGAGAGATGCGATAATATTAGCGATATCAAATACTGTACAAAATGAATTCGCACAAAGGCTAACTTGAACAATGTTTTTGGTATTTTAGGATCGGAAATTGAATTTAGTTTTTTATTTGTGTTATTACTATATTTTATAATTTGGTTGTAACAGACTCGTACCGCATTTCAAAGATAAATTACAGGTAAACAACGATTGACTTCGATAAGGGACGCGTTAAAGTGAATTTTTTTTATTGATTTTTTTTTTTTCGAAAGTATTGAGCCTCGAAAATATCGGGTGTAATTCATAGGCGTGACTGGACTTCATCCGCAGCGGCAGCCTAGCTAATAATCGGCGCCACTTAATGAACTGAATAAATCCCCTTTGAATATAGTGGGAGGTTAGCCTTCCCCCTCCCAGTTAAATATTTATATAATTCAAAATTCTGTATCATCTATTTACATTTAATAACGTACAGTATTTTCAGTGACTTTAAATTTAACAACAGACATATTATTCATATAGAAGCCTGGATTTTACCGCCATATAGTTAACAAAATATATGATGTTCTAATGTAGAGAATAATAAAAATGATTAGACCGATAGAAAATAATATTTTTTTATAAATAACGTTTAGTAAAAAAAATATTTTTTTTTCTTAAGTTGTAAGCCATCACCAGACATAAGATTAGGTTGACTTTAGGAAATTGTAGCGGCAGCACAGGTACCCTAAGCTGCCGCCGTACACACGCCTATGGGGTAATTATTATTATTCATCTATGTTAAATAAAAATTGAGTTTTTTTTTCTTTCTTTATGTAACGTTGAAATATAAATTAACCAACTGGATACGTGTTTATAATAAATTATTATTTTCAATGATATTTGATTGGTGTTGGGTATAGCGCGTAAAAAAACGAGATGAATTTAAAATTGTTTCGCGGGTTTCAGTAATTTTATACGCTTTTAAATCGTCTGCCGAATTCAGAACCGGACGCACGGAGAGAAAAGAAAAACAATATTATGATCGCCGGTTAACTGATGAACGTCACACAGACACGTGTATTTTATTAGTATAATATTTTACGTTCGTACGCCGCAGCCGTAAATTAAATTATACTTGGTTTTCTTTTTTTTTAAATAAAAAAAAAAATCCCGCGTAATACTTAAGAAATAAACGACGCGTATAATTTAATACGCCCAAACCGCGCGCACGAAATATTATTTGAAAAAAATATTATTATTAAGATGATAATTCGGGATGCGCGCGCTTGATAATAAATTGATGTACAATACAGCGGTCGGATTATTAATACAGGCATACAACGACTACGGCGGATTATCGGGGATGGGGGTGGGTAGGAATTAAATAACAAAATTATTATATCAGAAAAACCGTGTACGATAATATAGGCTCGACTAGGCCGGAACTACGCTGGAGTTACACCTGCACTGCACACGGTGCACACGCGGAACCGCGGGTGCGATAAATGCCTAGTTTGTGCGGTGACTTTTCGTCGATATAGAATCTTTTCGCATATTTATCACCATCGGAGCTTTTGGAAACTTTACGGTTTGTTCGGTTTCGGTTCGTGTTACGGTCTGCATAAAACAAACAAAAATCGATTCCAGTTTCGATTCCGGTTCTTAAAACTACAGAACAGAAATTTCGGTTCCGGTACGAAAATGTTCACTCGTGAATTTACTATCCGTATTCACGTGTTTTGGTGTTATTCGCTCACGTGTACGAGAGTTTTTTAAGTACACGGCTTTATAGATTCGAATGTTGTTTTGACGTGAACACGTCAATAGCGTGTATACGTGGAGTAGTGTCATAGCTGTAGTATTCAGGCATTGCAAATTATTGACGTCGGTTCGATATCGATATCATCAACGGTGGGTGGGGTGGGTGGGTTGGTGCCGACTATCAAATATGTACGTGTACGATATTGCATAATACATTCCGTACAATGTGTTATAAACAAATAGGCGATATAACTGTATGTTATTGTTCGTGGGACAATCCGATAACAATATGTTTTATTATATCAATGTCTGACCTTTTGAATGTTATTGTCATTAATCGTCAACGTCCGCCGTCGTTCAAACTGAATTATAAATAAATTAGGTATGGGCATATATAATCACGGTGACGAGTTTCGACTGGACGGACGAGGATCAATAATAAGAATAGTATGTTTTTATTCTGGTGTAGTTTATCGACGTCTGGAACTTGTACGTACAGATTAATATAGAAACGGACATTAATATATTATTAAAAACCCATTACGGTTACGACATCGACCGGATTCAACGAAACTAATTATCGCGTAAATAAATAAAAAAATTGAAACGACGGAAAATGTCCGACCTACAAATGTACCGGTTACCGGTTCCGGTTCGGGTAAAAGAGTTTAGGGAAAAAGTGGGAATACGCTTCCGGTTCCGATATTTCCAAAGGATTTCGGTTAAAATCCCCGGCATTTTTAACTTCGGTTCCGAAAGTCTGGCCGGCCGATTTTCCCGGAGGTCGATTTCGAGCGAATTCGATTCCTGTTTCCCGCCCCCAATCGTCGCTTAGCTTTATTTTTTCGAACGCGGAAAAACTTTACGACCGCACATTCTCGTCTTACGCCTTAAACCGCGGTTATACCGCAATTTTGATCAACATCAAAAAGAGACGTAGAGTACGATACATTTTTCTGAAAACGTCCACGCGAATATCGTACGTATAATGGGTACGATGGGTCAGCACCGTTTACGGTGAATTATACAATATTGTCTAGCAACGTCCTAAGATCGCCGAGTAGGATTTGTTCGTAAAGTTGCGCTATGTTTGTATAAGTGCCAGCTTTTCACGTAAAGGTGAACCGGAGGGAGTTTAAAAACGTTGACCGAACGACCGTACACGGTGCCACTTTCCGAAAACGTCCGGAATACGTAACCGGTGGTGAGGCGGGGAGAGGGGGTAGTCGGTTCCTTTACATTTTTTATCGTTGAACCGCCACGGTCGTCGCCGTGAAAATATCGCGCGCGATAACGCTTTTGGCCGTGCGTTACGCTCGCGGACGCGTAGGAGGGAAAGTTTTCGAGAAAGACCGAGAGCGGAGAGAAGAGTTTTCCGGTTCGCCGGCGGAAACCCTCTTAACATACCGGGCCGCCGCCGCCGCCGCTTTCGTAGTCGTCGTAGTCGTCGTCGTCGCAGTTTTGACGTGTGTTTGGGAATGCGGGCACGCCCGCGTGAGTGTGTGTTCGTGTGTGTGTGTGTGTGTGTGTGTGTGTGTGTGTGTGTGTGTGTGTGTGTGTGTCCTCACGAGCTCGGGATACACATATAATACACACGCACGCACGCACGCACACACGCACACCGACGCCCGACCACGCACACGCGTCTGTAGTAATACAATATATACACACACACACGAGTATAATATAATATCGGTATATAGTATTATTATCATTATTGTTACGTGGTTGTAGTATACAATATAGCCGCGTGTACTGTGTATAGGTGTGTGTGTGTGTGTGTGTGTGTGTGTGTGTGTGTCCTCACGAGCTCGGGATACACATATAATATCGAGTGCGCACGAGTGTTCGGTTTAATAATATAATGCCGGTCTTAAAAAGCCGGGATCGGCCGATACGTACGAGTTTCGAGGGGAGCGGGAGGGGCGGGAGAGGCGGACGGATTTCAAATCCGCGGGTACGATTTTCTCGGACATCGCGAATCGTCGTCGGTATAACGGAGGAAACCCTGATGGCTGATCCGCCGATCGCACCGATATCCGTCACTTGTCTGTACGCAAAGACGGGATAGCCAGCATCGGGTCGCCCACTAAACCCGACGTTTTATCGCGTTTAGTGACTGCAGTACTACCATAACGATGTGAAAGCCGTGATATATTTCTGTGTGTTTTGTCGAAAACAAAACAGAGAAAAAGCTGGATGGTCGGTCCAGCTATCCAAAAACTGCAGCACTTTGATCCTAACCGTTGAAGAATAACGCTTAAATAACGTTTTTCTTCGGCGATTTTACCAACGCCAGCGGCGTCAACATCGGTTTTGTAAATAAACGTGTGCAAGTAGCGAGTCTAACTTGGTCGAGAAAACAGAACCGTTTTCTAGCCTAAGTCTGAGTTATACCGGTGCGTACCGCAAATTTCAACAACGCAAAATGGGCGTTTTAAAATTTCGCGATCAATCACCGCTAGTATGGGTATGCAATACAGCGGACTCTTTATTAACGCAGCAATTATACGTTACCGAGTAGTGAATTGCTTAGTAGCATTATAGCAGAATGTACTACTTAACACTAATAAGTACCTGTTCAATAATTAATTTGAAAGTGTACGTAATATTATGGTGTAAAACGGTACGGAAAATCGGTACGCAAATACTTATAACGATTATTAAAAATACTACTATACTTACTGCTTAGGTAAGTAAAACGTTTAGTTTTTGTGTTTGGGTGTGTAATTTTGTAACGATTCGAGCCACAGTTTCACGACACGACCTGCGCAGCATCTTTTCTTGGACATGTTTTGATTGAGAATACATCACTTGAATATTTTAACGTAATTAGGTAGCTTAGGGTAGTTTTCGATGCTGATTGCAGTGAGAAATGTATTGGTTTCACTTTTTAATGCGGCTCTTAAATCATCTATTTCTAGATGAGTTAAAATTTTCAAATCGTTCTGGCGATTTATTCGCTATTTATAAGGCCGGGCACAATCGAACGTTTCGAATTGTATTCTCCTTCGTCTTCTGTTTACCCGCGTCTGTATGGGAACTTTATTTTATTTGCATACCTAATACGATATATTAGAGTAGGCATAATTGAATGTTGTAGTTTCTTTCAAAATCCTTTAGATTTCCAGCACCCCCTCCTTAAAAACGTCTGTAACTTTTTCTTGCTATCGGTACAAACGATAAAATTTGCTTAACAAACCGGTAAAAAACGATCGCCACGGGTTTTTTACCCGAAACCTTAGATGACGAGGGTAATAAGGGAAACATGAACCCCAAGAAAAAATAAAAAAATTATAAAACGTAAATTAGTATGTCGGTTTTATCTTTTACTATAATCTATACTACTACACTTAGTTTTTTTTAATCCGCAAACAACTTATCTACTAGAAATCTTCTTCTTTTTTTCTTTCTGGCTTATTCCAGGCCATTTAGACCCATCGCCGCTTCCACTATGTCTCTCCATGTATTTCTATCTAATGCTGACTTAATAATCTCGATCACTCTACCGTTGTCTTGGGCGTCCTCTTGGTCTTGGTCCAGTCGGATTCTATTTCGTGACATTGTTAACTAATTTATTTTTTGCCCTACACATGTCCAGCCTAGCTTATCCGTTCACTCTTTAGAACAACCATTATGTCAGGTCTTTGAACGTTTCCTTGAGTTCTGCGTTGGTTCTTCATCTATATTGATTATTTGTACTGTTCTTCCTTGGGCCGAATATCTTCCGAAGTATTCTCCTTTCGAAAATTATAATACGTTTTTCGTCTGCTTTTGTTGATGCTCACGCAATCACGCCTCACATTCATACAGTGCAATATTAGGACTTTGTAAGTCTGACTTTCGACCTCTTCAATAGTAGCTTTGATTTGAACCGGGGGTACCAGTAAGAAATAACACCTATTTCCCGCCGTTATTGTACGGTCGATTTCCTCATTTCACGTTTACCCCAGGTATTCGAAATCATGGACACTTTCAAAAATCATGTCTCCCACAACGATTTAATTTCGGAGATGCTGATTTCTATTTTTCGATCGATTTATAATATAACACGAATACGACGGGACCGTCAAAGACGTATCGAAAATCCGAATAGTCGCGATTTGTTTTTTTTCTAATCTTTCCAATGACCTTTATAGTTCGGAGTTCGAATTTCGACGGTAAAAACCGTCACACCGCGTTTTCCGATCCGAAAGTATTGTAACCGGGCCAAGGGGTGGGGGCTAAGGGGCTTTACCCTCGGACCGTAATTATTATGTATTTATAAACCTTAACGATCGTCTAGTACGTGTGACTTTTGGTAACTCGCGGTGGCGCAGAAACTAGCCTTCTCCCCCCCCCCATCGCATTTGTGATTTCCGGATCCGCGTCCGGAACGCGGATAGTCGCGGTTGAACCGCAGCAGAAACCGTTTCGGGGCGGGGGGAAAAAAAAAAATGCCACCCGCAACGACGGCTACGCGATTACGCCGCGACGCTGGTCCTAATAGATTAAATTTCCTCTCGCCCGACCCGTCCCCCATTCCCCGCCCCGCGGCCCGGTCCGTCGCGGGATTATATTTCGCCGGCCGGTCGCCCGCAATTAGTACTCACTCGCGAGCGGATCCGTGAAATAATAACACAGTGCGCAATAATGCGCGCGAGCGCGCGCGCGTAGCCGCGGCAGTATTCCCAATTGGTCGCGCCTCCGCCACCCGTCGCACCGTTCGGCACGCGGATCGAATTACTCGCGCGGTTTTATTACGCGCGCGTTCCGGCCCGCGCATATGTTCCGTTACTCTGCACGGCGACGGCACGACGGCCCGCGACCGTTTCCGCTCGTCTCCCTCCCGTCACTCCGTGCCCCTGAGGAAATCCGCGCGTTTCTTCTACGGCGTACCGCGCGGCGGCGGCGGTAGTTTGTTGGCTATTGTTTTTTTTTTTTTTCCGTCCGAAAATCTAATTCGGCCCGGCGGTTTAATGCGTAGGCGAGTGAGCGACGGGAAGAAGGGGGCCGCGGAGTGTCCCTTATTAACGAAACCATTAAAATATTATTTTTCGAAACCCCGTAGTTCGTGTCTTCGGAATCATGTCGCCGAGACGTTTTCAGTACGGTTGTACAAAAACTCGATTCGATAAGATAGTATTTGCCGGTGTTGAGGGGGTGGGGGGTTACGATAAACCCTATTAGTACAGTAACATTTGTACGGATAAAGGCCTCCGTGTTTGGTTTTCCGAAAGTTCGGTTAGTCCTCAGGAATGCCCCTGGATTTTCAAAAATAATCAAATAATATTATGTCTGTACCACCACCGGTCACGTTTTTGGATAACAGTGGCCACAGAAGGTTAAAAACACGACTAGTACTATGGTAACTTTTTCAGAAATAACAATCACATTGTTGTTAACACGTTGACACAGTAATTACAGTTCAACGGTTAACTGTTATAGGAAAGGGAGCGGCAACAGAGTAGGTACACGTTAAATTTGATTTATTTTATTGATTTCGGTTTCTGAAAGGATGTAAAAATAAATCTGCTTATAAATAGTAAAAAAAAAAAAAAGTCAAGTAAATTGGAACGGGCAACAACGGACAGGACAGCTATTTCGAAAATAGAAATAAAATTCTCGTCAAATCAAGTTAAAAGTTTAACGTCCTTTTGAAAATTACACCGTCTTACATTATACACATATCGACGATGACACGGCAAAAAGGTCTAAGCGACATGGCTTCACTATTGGATGGAGGAATACGTGTTTCGTCTATTGCGCGCGCGCAAAAACAGCTGTGGCCATTATTTAACGAATACTATTTGAATTTTAAGTTTAGGGTTTAAACGATACGATTTATTCGGGTCAATTATAGGGTCAAAACGACAATAAAAGCTAATCAACAATGCGTATTCGTATTAAGGACGTGTAAAAATAAAAAAAAAAAAAAGAAATACAATGAAGTTATTCCCCGTTCCAACAGAAAAAAAGTTATAGCCAACCAAAACAAAAAAAAAACAAAATGGTAAAATCACAATAATAAATGCGTTTTGATTCAAACTATGCATTGTGTCGCTAGACCCCTTTGCCGTGTCACCTTCGATATTATTAGATACCGTGGCGGAATAAATGTCGAGTTTTTTCATTTTCCCGACGGTTTTGGGCTGTGCTTTTTAATACGTCATAGTGATACACACATAGTTATAAAACGGCAGTCAGTTTCCTTTATATATTACGATATACCGAACATACAGAATAGTATTATAATATGTATACTTAATACGGTAATGCGTTTTGTTGCTCGTAAAAAACACGACGAGTCGAAATAACACCGTCCGTGTGACGCACGGTTATGGGCAAAGAGTAAAGTGTAAAAAAAAAAAAAAAGAACATTTCGTAATACCGACACGACGATGGACTACGTTCGGCTACTATCCGTATAAACGCGTATGTGTTATTATAAAACGTACGCGAGAGTGAATAAAAAAAAAAAAACGAAAACGTTGTTTATTTATTTATTATTATTTTTTTTTTTTTTTATACGCGCATACAGAAAATTCGATTCCGGCAACTCTTGTGCGTATATGTAATATGTATATAAACGAGGTGAAAAGAGAGGACCGACAATCCGGATTTATGCTTTTAATTTTTTTTAAC